AAAAAAATTTTTTTTCCCCGCCCTCCCCTTGGATCTTTTTTTTTTTTTTTTTTTTTTTTTTTTAGAGAAGAGAACCACCCTCTTTCCCGGACTAATACCAAGAGTGAATTTCCATGGTACATTAGTCAGCCTATTAGAATGCAATGAAGGACGATATGAGAAAAGGGTAGTGTGTCCTCTGAGACTTCCACCAGTGTTCTCCATCATCTCTCCCCATCCTTCTTACACTCAGCCACTTTACCAGGTGTCATCTACATGAAAGATGATTTGTCTCCTGACCCAAATAAACACAATGCCTGCTCCGTGCACCGGAAAAAAATTACTTCTGCCACTCTGTTCATTCGTGGCCTCTTTCTTGCTTATTCCACTATTCTTATCAAGCTCGCTCGGTTTTCACCTGAGCCTCACTCCAGGTGACAGTAATGTATGGATGAACAGGTACTTGTCGGTCCCATTATTTCCTGAAATCTCTAAGCATTTGAAAAAAACGCAATGACAGTAAAGGGCACTCGGTTATCCGAGCTCTAAGGGAGGAATGCTTCCCTTTACCTGCCAATGCAATAGTCTAGGCATCAGAGAGAGAGAGAGAGAGAGAGAGAGAAAGAGAGAGAGAGAGAACTCTCATGGCAAAAGCCGGTGTAAGCGGGATATTAAGACACAAATTGCATTCAGGCAGGTCACTAGGTGTCAAAAGATATTAGATGCCTGCTGTGAGGAAACAACAATTCCCATCTGCTTCGGAGAAAATAATATTTTCATTTTCGGTTTTTATTGAATGGAAACTTTTGGGAATATGTCTTTATAAAGGGTATTAAGTCTAGCAAGTATAACATGTTCAAAATGGCTATAATCATCATTGTGTTATCCATAAAGCAGCAGATTTCATTTGGTCTCTTTAGATGGGATAAATTGGATTCTTTTTTCCCCCGGCTTGCAGTTTCGTTGTAGGACCAGATGTTTCGCAAATGCCACATGCTGAGCCTCCTATACCGAACGTAGCACCTGACCTTCTCTATAATTGACTAAAAATATTGATGTAATGGCATGGGTCTGATTGTGATTTATTAAAACCACTGCCGATCCCAGGCCAGCTGCCAGCATTGCAGCCCACTGATCGCGTGGCATTAGAAAAGCCATCAATAGTGAAACAAAATAAATGACATTAATGGGAAAGTATTAGGCCCTGTGTAGCCGTGGCTACAAGCAAATTATGTGGATTCCAAAGGAGGGTCGAAATAAATTTAAAAAAAAAAAAAAAAAGCCACAAATGAAATTTCTAAATACCTTAATACAATTGAACGAAAAGACAAAATGCTGCTATAACTCTTGAGATGAAACACAAAGAAATTCCACGTACAATAATTTAATCCTCTTTACCAAATTTTGCTCGTTGTGCCTGTTTCTTTGAACGGGCACGGGAAAGTTAAACGCATTACGGCGGCCGGATGACTCTGATGTGTCTCTAATGCCACTTCCGTTTTCTGGAATTATGCTAAGTGGAGAACAAAGTATCTGTGTTATTCCCATTTATTACAACCATGTCCATAATTCACAAGCTGATTATGCAGGCCTCATACAAGGGAAATCAGGGAAGTTCCCCGCTGTCGGAGAACAGAGGGCCAGCCTGCGTTCTAGCCAACTGCATTTTCTTACATTTTGAGCTACCGAAAAGGGGCGGCGAGATCTACTACAAATTCGCTTTCATGGGAATGACAGGACTATTTCAAAATAATTAAATAAAAGACACGAGGGGGCAACCAGGTGCTCCAATTAAGGAACAGCTGAGTGTGACACAGAATTAAACGCAGTAACAAAGAACTACCAACATGGAGGCGGTGTGCCTACATGCGCTTTTTAATAAAAGGTACCTGAGTTAGGAGATTTATGGACAGAAAAGTACCAGTTCGCTCATATTAATTCTCTTTTCAGGGACATCACCCTTGTTGGTGCTCTGAATTAAAAACGCACACATCACAAAGCTAACAGCTAAAGGGCAATTTGCATTTGGGAGGGAGAAGTACAAAGAACAAAAAAAAAATGCTCTGTTGGGTGGAATTTCAGAAAGATTAAAATTTCCGAATTTAATAGTGTCTGGCTGTATAGAGGAACAGAGTTGATGCCTTTGAAGGACTCTATTACAGAAACACTAATTATTTCTAGATAAATACACTTCACAGTCCATTTAGTCCTCCTAGATATTTTATGGCATTGAAATGACTTAAAAAAAAAAAACACTTGTTTCCATCCTGGAGGCGCAGGTACAGTGTGCTGTACACACAAAGGTACTAGGGATACTTCCAAAAGTTCATGGAAAATACAATTCTACTGTGAAGTGTATTTTGGCCTACAAAAAAAGTCTGAAACGCATGAATTTCTTGTTCATACTAAGATTTTCCATGAAATTTTGGAAGTCCACCTAATAGCGACCACTAGAAAGAATTTTGGTCATAAGTGACTCATGAAATATTTGGCTTAAGTCACTTAAAGGTTTCCGGCTTTTACATTGTCAAACTTCTTTTGTATGAAAAAAAATAATGATAACTTTAAAAACAATTCAACAATTATGTGTTGAGTTCCTAAAATGTGCGGTAACTCTCCATCCAAGTGGTACCCTAGTCTGTAAGTGCCTGATATCAACATGATCATGTAACACCAAAGTCAAATCAAAGCTCTAAAATCCTCTAGACAAGCCACACATACCCCGGGGCTTGTGGATTTTGCAAGAGAAAGCACCAGAGACCAGGAACCCAGGGACACTTGTCATTTCCGGACTACTCTCTGAATAGTTGTACCAGTTACACTTTACTACTGGAATAGAATTAAAACCGACCAACCAACAAACATCCTCTCTTTATTCTCTCCTTGGACCTGCATACCCAGTAATCCAATTAATTATATGTAAGTATTCTTTGTAATCAACATCACAAGATGTATCTACTCCGTATCAGTGAACACTTTTAACTCAATACAAAACCATCCTGTTAGAAGTAGACTTCAACTAAAAATTCTTCAAGTTTACCTATAGAAAAATTAAAAATTATTTTCTTTGTTTTTGAGAGGTTTTTACTACGGGGGCGGGGGGTGTGCTTGCCAGAAAGACAGAGAAACAGAAAGTGAGAAATCACCCCCCAGGGGGATGGCCACACCACAATCCCTTCTTCTCCATTCTCCTCTTGAGATCTTGGGCACACATGCACAATTGCCCGGTGTGAGTTTAAGCCACTGTGTCTGGGACTCGAACCGCAGTGGACTACATGGGGAGTTCAGTGACATAGCCATTACACCAACTGCTCATCATTTAAAATTATTTTCTTTTAAGCAGAAATTGCCTGAAGTTAATTTTGTTGCCTGTTATACACTTAAGTACTAAAAACACAGTGGGAAACTTAAAAAGAATATATAAGTAAATTATTAATATTTTCATTTTTCGTTGCCTTTTTTAAAAAATGCAGAAATAAGCAATGAAAGCATAGTTTTTGCTAACTGAAAATTATATACCTTTTTAATTAACATGAGTAAAAACCATCACAATATATTTGTAATTTTATAGTTGGTCTGAGTTCCTTAGTTCTAAATGATAATTTAATTATTTTGCTTCTACAAAGTACACTTAAGAAAACCATCCTCAGTTTAGTTATCTCAAAAGAAGGTAAATACACTGAACAAAAATTTAAATAAGTCTTTTGATCAACTTTATCATCAAGATCCTGCAATTTGTGACACAATAAGAAAAAAATGTATTTTGGGGGGCCAGCAGGTGGCATGGTGGTCAAAGGTGCTGGATTCCCACCCACATGGTTGATGGTGGTTTGAGTCCCAGACCTGGCGACTTGCTTTCTCCCTTTCCCTTTCTCTCTCTCAAGTCAAACTTAAAAAAATAACAAATGGAATTAAATAAATAATTTTTTTGTTAAAAAAAAAAAAAAAAGGAAGAAAGGAAAAAAATGTATTTTGGGGCCTCTATATGGCATAGTGGTTAAAGTACTGGACTCCCATATGACCAACCACAGTTCGAGTGTCAGACTTGGTAGTTTGCTTTCTCACTTCTCTCTCTCTCTCTCTCTACTGAATTAAAATAATAATAAATACAATTTTTTAAAAAGAAAAAACCTATTTAATTATGATTTCAAATTTATGTATGAAAAGATCAAAAGTAGAAAGAAACGAATCTTTTTTTTAAAAAAAATAAAGCGTATGTGCCTAAGTTCGGGCATAGGTATAGCTAATAAGATCGTTGACCTTAACTACTTCCCTTACCAATTTACTTTAAGATGATAGAAGCAAATAATCTTTTCGAAATAGTTGCGGGACCTGAAATACCTACAAAGATCTGTACCTCTACCCATCCTGACTTTCTCCTTCTACTTTGCTTTCAACTCAAAACACAAAATCAAATTGCTCTGTTCATCTGGCCTTGGTCACACCCAAAGCCATCTACCTAAAATCAGTGGCCAAGTCCTAAAGGTCCCCTTTACCTCACGGCAGAACTTCCCCAGGCTCCATGCTTGTCTGTGAGGATGTGGATGATTTTCTGGATTAGCTGAGTGGCTGTCACATGGTCTCGATATTTAGCTGCTCTTATCAGATGATCACACATCTTCTCATCCTCCCGCTTGTCTGCGGAATACTGGGCACACAGGGACTTGGGTAGAAAAAAGAAACATTAATTAATACTATAAAAAAAAAAATAAGGGGGGAAAATGCTTTAAAATACCTCATGAAATCATCTTGAGCATGAATCAAACCAACCAAAAATGTAAAGCTGGTTTTATAACCCTCATTACCCTGACAAAGATTTAATGGTCTGCTGTCTCGGGTGAACATCCCCTAGGAATGTATTTCTCTGACGTCAATCATAAGATACACTTAAAGTAGTTACCCTGTGAGCAGAGACCTGAACAACAAGAAGCTACATAGTTATGTAAGACCAGGGGCCCAGCCTCACACACACCATACGCACCATACGGCAGAGCTGGAAAGGTCTGGAGACATAGGGAGTGGGGATGTGTGGTGTGTAAAGAACTCGGAGAGGTGGGCAGTGGCTGCATCGTTTGAACTAAGCAGTTACAAGGAAGACCTCAGGGCTTATTCCAAGGTGACGGGATAGTAGAAGGTTTTAAGCAGTAGAGTGACACAGCAGAGTTACATTTTAAGTGATGACTGGGCCAGCAGGTGGCAGAGTGGCTGGGTGCAGGATTCGTGCATGGTCAACTGTGGTTCAGGTCCTGGACCTGGTGGCTCGAAACTCACAACAGGTGTGTCCGCTTGCAGGAAGACCTCAGGGCTTATTCCAAGGTGACGGGATAGTAGAAGGTTTTAAGCAGTAGAGTGACACAGCAGAGTTACATTTTAAGTGATGACTGGGCCAGCAGGTGGCAGAGTGGCTGGGTGCAGGATTCGTGCATGGTCAACTGTGGTTCAGGTCCTGGACCTGGTGGCTCGAAACTCACAACAGGTGTGTGCACTTGCCATGTCTAAAATGCTGAGAGGAGAACGGAGAAGGGATGTGGTGTGGCCATCTTCCCTGGGGTGGGGGTGATTTCTCACTTTCTCTCTCTCTCTCTCTCTCTCTCTCTCTCTATCCAGCAAGCACATGCACCTTGTAGCAAAAACCTAAAATCAACAACAAAACCAAAAAAATCACTACAGCTGCTATTTAGAGGCTAAAGTGGAATAGGAGAGCTGAAGAGGTGAGACTAGTAATGAGGCCACTGAAGAAGTTGAGAAATAAAAAAATAGCACACAACAGCAAACTGAGTTAGTTCTCAATAATTTCAGAAAATGAAACAGTTTGATCTTTTAAATTCAAGCTATACAAAATGAACAGTAGTAAGGGAAACGCCTAGGAGTTACTAAAAACGCAGAATCTCTTACCCACCCCAAACCTACTGAATGAGTATCTGGATTTTAGTGAGACCCACAGATGATGCACACTAATATTTGGAAAGAATTGTCTTTGGGCCAGCTGGTGGCATGGAAGTTAAGGCACTGGATCCCACATGGCCCACTAAGTGGTTGGAGTTCTGGACCCAGTAGCTTGGAAAACACTCCAGGTGTGGGTACATGCATGCCCAAAATTCTGAGAAGAGAATGGAGGAGAAGGGACTGCAGCAGGGTCATCTCCCCTGGGGAGTGCTCTCTCACTGTCTGTCTGTTTCTAGCCAGTGCATGTGCCCTCCAGAAATTAAACAATAAGTGAAAAAATTTTTAAAACTAAGCAAAGTACTATCTTAGAAATCATCAATTTTGCCCCCCAAGTAACAAACCTTATGATTCTTCTGAATCAGATACAGTAGTGAGTTTCCAAAATGCGTATTACCTTCCTTTTGACATTCACATCGTGTTTGTAAGACTACAGTTCATGCAATACATGGAATAAGGAACAGAGTGACGTGAGTTTGATCCTGCAGCCTATTCACAGGGGATACCAGGCTTTCCCCTTCACTTCCAAAGATAAGTCCAATGCACCCATCCATCGTACACGCACACACAGACAAGGTCTTGCACACGTAAGGCCAGTTCAGTCCGTGACAGTCCACACGCGTGGCAGCTGTTCCATAAGAAGCACACAGGCTACACCACAGAGCCTGGTGTGGACGAGGTCATATTGTCCTGTTCGTGAACGTTCACGACAAGATGAAACTGACTGCTTCTCAGAATGTATCCCTGTCATTCAGGAACACACCACCACACCTATACACAACACACGCATGTAAACTCTGAGCAGCAGCTCATGTGTGTGAGCACGGCAAGGACAGTGCAGTCACACGAATGAATAGAAGAGTGGGATGTGAAACATAAACCTGACGGAGGAACAAACATCACTATTTGATGTGGGACACGGGTTGTCGCCTGCCCGCCTACTCTGTGCCGGGTGACAGGTTGCTGCCACACACCTTCCCACCACTGATCTGGTAACGAATGAGAGTTCCGGTGGTCCCAGTCCCATCAGGGTAAAAATCACACCCACACTGATTTCGTTGGCTCAAATCAGATTTTTAACAGATATTTTTTAGCAGAGGATTTTTTCCTACCTAGCTTAGGAAAGGCAATTGAATGTAAATGGTGCATTAAGAGGAAAGCTCAGGTTTTTAGTGGATCATTCCCTCCTTTCTCTCAGGGATTAAAAGAGGGGGAAAAAAATTTACCATGAGAGAAGTGAGCCTGACAATAAAGCCAAAACCAAAAAAGAGCAGAATTGTGAGAATTATAGAAAAACAGAGCTTCTTCCAGGAGGAATCAAAGCCCTACGGGGTCCTTAGGAAGGTCATGATGCACTTTTGCATAATGAAACAGAAAAATATGTTAGGACCTTCCCAACAACCAAAGAGATCAGGCAAATCCTAAAGACCAAGTTAGGTCCAGACTCTCTTTTAACAAAAGCTGATTCGCTTCCACTCACTGTACGCCAGGAGGAATTGGGTTTTCTGTTCCTTACACCAACAGCAGCCCGACAGATCCAGCGTAAATGTGCATGCCTAAGAAATCAAATGTCTTACTCGGCATGAAACACTGCGCTAGAGTCCTAGGAAATTAATACTGAATGCGATTGAAAACATAAACTATTTTTGAATGGGAAGAAAAGAGAACCTTAAAGCAGAGGCAAGACAGAAAACCAGGGCTCCGTTTCGAGAAGAGGAAAGAAAGTTTGACCAATGTACAAAATACAGGTGGGGAAGTGTAGTAGACGGAAGACATGTTAGAATGCAGAATGACAACAGAGAAGAGGCACTAAGAGCCACAGTTAATATGGACGAACAGCAGACTGGGGAGCAAACAGCAACCCAATTACAGCATCATCCTTGCAAATATCACCTGCCAGTTTGGGGTAACTCATTCATTTACCTCTTTAAGTCTACATTTCTTCATCAGCAAAATGAGGGGATGACAAGAGCTGAAAGAATGTATTAACTAGATTTTATGCAACATCTGAGAGAGCGCTTAAAAGTACTTGAGTAACGGCTGGCAGGTAGCATGATGGTTAAGACAATGACTCCCACATGGTCCATTGCAGTTCAAGTCCCAAACCTGGTGGCTTGCTTTCTCACTTTCTATTGCAGTTCAAGTCCCAGACCTGGTGGCTTGCTTTCTCACTTTCTTTCTCTCTCTGGTCAAATATAAAAAATAATAAAATAAAAATTTTTTTTGGGGGGGAGAGGTTTTTTGCTATAGGGTATGTGCGCTCACTAAAAAGAGAAAGCGAGAAATCACCCCCCGACAGGGATGGCCACGCCGCAATCCCTTCTCCTCCATTCTCCTCTAGGGATCTTGGGCATGCATGCACATGTGCCCTGAGTGAGTTTAAGCCGCTGGGTCCAGGACTTGAACCGCAGTTGACTACATGGGAGTCCAGCAACATGGCCAATTACACTAACTGCTGATCCCAAAAGAATTCTTTTTTTTAAAAGTACTTGAGTATAACCTTTAAGAGATGTACATTTTTTAAATATAAACATTGATATAGGAAAAATAAGTCAAATTAGGACCTAGATAAGTTTATAACAAACTAAAGGTAAACACCATACATTGTATTTTTTAAAAAGATTTGAGCCAAACCAACCACAGGAGAGTACAGTCTGTTAAAAATCTGATTTGAGCAAAGAAAGCAAGAAAATGACTAAGGAACACCTGAAAGGGCAAGTAGTTTAAATGAAGATAACCAGGGAATGATTCCATAATAACAAAACCGTCAACTGATAGGTGCTATTTTCAGAGATGCACTCAGGAACTAAGACGTGTCCCGCAGGGTTACTTCGTATCTCTCCCAAGCACACACAGAACTAACAGGATACAGAGAGGTGGGCAGACCCTCGCAGCCTTCTCTCCTTTCACCACTCCCTACTGTACCCGCCATTTGTCCTTGTCTACCTTCATCTGATAAGAACAAATCCCAATTATTGATGGAATTCGAAAAACCACTGGTCTCTGTACTCTTCCCAAGCCCCACACACCTTCACACTAAACGGAACTAGGAGTACCAGAAAAAGACACTACCGAAGAGCCTGTCGTGTCCACCCTGCATCAATATAGGAATAATTTAACTTCACCCCATTATATTTGGAAACCATTGGATAGCTGTTCAAGTTTACTTGAAAAGACGTGATTCTAGAGAACAAGGTCACAAGGTAAGCTGAACGGTAAAATGGCGTAAAGTGGTCTCTAATGGGTCCTCCTTTACAATTCCAACAGCAACTTTTCATATCTGACATAAAATCCATCGATATAAATCACATTAAAGGGCTATTCTTTCCTGATTATCAATCTCTGTCTCTTTGTGGAACATTAGAGTCACATTTAACCCGAAAACATGATAAAAGGAAACCGATAAAAATGTTTTGTAAAGGTATGATGAACCTGTATCTATTTTTTAAAACGTCTTTAAAATGTAATTCGAAATCGTTCTTATTTTAAAAACAGTAACAAGTCCATGAATGGCATATCATTCAAAGTCAAGTACAGATGAGAACTATGTGTTTTAACATCAAATACGTGTGAGTTATCAGTGGTACAAATATGTGAATATGTGTTTGTGTTTAGAAGCTGGATGGAGGTACACTAAGAGACCCTATCAAAAAAAAAAGTAATTTATAAATAAAATAAAAGATCAGACCTAAAACTTAATTCAACTTTATTTTAGGCAGA